CGGGTAAGATTCTTGGTCCTCGTCTCGCTCTTACCGGGTAAGATTCTTGGGCCTCGTCTCGCTCTTACCGGGTAAGATTCTTGGTCCTTACCATATTCATCCGGTATGGTAACGTGACTTGGTGTTCACTTATCCAAGTAAGCGTTTGATAACTATTTTGAAAAGAGACTTAAAAAAATGAAATTATGTATTTGAGTTAATTTGGTTGTTCTACAGCAAATGCAATTTATAAAAAATAGATTGGCAGTGATTGTTTTTGTGCTGGTAACTGCATCTGGTTGAGCAACAAGTGATTGATGTAGGAGCTATGACGTGCGTATACTTGCAAGTTGCAACAGCATACAAACAATGATACCATGTGATTGAATTGAAAGGTGGAAGATACCACGTCAACAATAGTTTCTTCACCTTCTTTAAAATCTTATCAAGATGACCCTACCCGTACGTATCAACTTCAAACTTTATAATGGAAAATGATCACTCATAAATCATTTATTAGAATTTAGAAGAAGGGATATTTGTTTAATACAGTAAAATATATTTTGCTTTCAATATTTTTTGTTTAATTTGTTGTTACATTGCGATTGAATTATCGGGTGTTTCACAATTCAGTCTTTCAAATCTTGACCAATAAATTTTTAGTGGAAGGGTTGGAATCTCTTTTTCTGTTTCTGCTTCTGCTTCTGAAATCACTAGAGCGAGCATGAGCCATGAGTGGATTGGAAGCAAGCTTGGTTAAACTAATGAACTCAGATTGTGTAAGAACTAAAGCATTAGTAGAATTATGCCTCATGTCAAATGCCAATGTGATTTCTTCTTGAAACTATACGTATTTCCAAACCCGTCATGTTTGGTCCTCCGATCGTATTGCCATGGTCTTCCCAAACAAAATGTGACATGCGTCCATGTGAATCACTCCGCACCATACCTCATCTTGATATTTTTTCCCAATCGAAAATTGGACTAAGCAACGTTTACTTACTTTAACAAAGTTTCCTTTCTTAAGCCATGTGAGTTGGTATGTTTCCGGATGGTTTCCACATTGAGACCTTGTTTCTCGACCATGCTAGTTGCCACCGCATTTTTGTAGCTGCCCCCATCGACGATCATGTTGCATACTTTTCCTTCGTTTGTGCACTTGGTGCGAAATATATTATTGTCGCGACGATCATGTTGCATACTTTTCCTTCGGTTGTGCACTTAGTGCGAAATATATTATTGTCGAACTCTTGGACAGACAAGTTTCATAGTGACAAATTTGGTAGCAGCTTCATGTTTTCTACTTTGGATTTTCCTTCTTGCAAACGTTGTTTCTTTACATGATCCCACCTGCCAAAGTGAAGGGTATTTACCGTTTTAAGTGATATGGAATGTCACTCAAAATCGAAGACTCGGTCTAGGGTACTTAACCATTCCATAAATTCGTTGAGATGTGCGAACTTCGATTTTCATCCCAAAATCTTCTTTGTAATAAATGAAGTCAAGGGATCAAATCCGTAATTTTTAACATACCTTAGGAATCAAATGCGTAATTTATTGTTTATGATGATTATATATCAAAATTTAAACTTGTAATACAAAATTTAATTTAATTTAATTTTATATGACAATGACCATTCGGTTTACCCCACAACCATCTCATTTCAATAATTCAATTTTGGCCTTACGCTATAGCTATAAGTCACATATGCAAAGTTTACCGTTGATTATCACTGGGTCTTAGAGCATGTTATGAAATTGGAATGAGAATTGTTATTACAATGGTGTTGTATGGTTACACATATATCGCCTACCCCAATTTATTTTATTTTATGGTACACTTATTACAAAGTCAAATCTATTGGATTAAATACGGATGATTATATTATTTTAAATATGTATGATTAATATTGTTATTACACATATTATTTTTACTAAGAAAAGCATCTCCTTGCTCCTACCAACTAAATACCCCTTACCTACTAACCAACTACATTCATTACGTATCTGGTATACATATTGGTACCCGTTTATTTATTTTTTTTACGAATATCGTCTTTTTAGTATATTTTTTTTAATGAAATTTCATAAATAAAAAAATTATTATATCTAAGCATTTATTTAAATTATGCATTTTTTTCCTTCCATTAAATTATTAATAACAAAAATAATTACATATAATTACAAATAGGGTTATAATGATTATTTTATTATTGATAGACACTTACCAAAAACATTTACCCGCTAAAAGTTGGTAAACGACCCCTTAGGCTTTTGGCAAAAATCATATTTATAAACCTAAAGAAATTGTAATTGTTCATATATTAAAACTGAAAATGAATGCACCCTTAAAAACGGTTTGTTACTAGAATTAATAGCTATTATTGGACGGTTACAAGATGGTATATGCAGTTAAGGGCCATCACTAAACGATTACCTAGTAAGCACTTACTGGATCATTTACCTTACCTGATTAACATGAAAATGGCAAATGATAAGGATTAACTAACAACCACTTCATTCTCTTATAAATACAATTACAAAAAATAACCTCATAATTTCACTAAATAAATAAATTCCACCTAAGCATTTAGATTTTTTATTTGATCAACATTTTTTTTTATTAACCTGGATACCAAATCCATTATGCGAGTCGACTAATCTTAGGGCGAACACTTGCTTTGCAGATAACCGAAGTCACCACATTTGAACCTCCGTGGCCACAAAGAAATTTTTATTATTCTTTGGATTTGAACCTGGGACCTCTAGGTACTTTTGATATTTGGAGTCAAGCTCAAACCAATCAGACACCACCCTTGTATTTAATCAACATTAAATTTATTGTATAAGTAGACATCAAAATTAAAGTTGATTTATTTGTATCCAAAATGGATGCAGTAAAAATGATATCAGTTTTGGCAAAGAATATTAAAAGCAACTAAGATTTTGTATCCAAAAAATTTGAGCAACATATTGCTTCACTCAAGTCTCTCCCTTATCATGTATCATATAGTGATATAGATAACAGAGTCAACATCCCTATTCCCTCATTCCAAAATAAGCAAACGCACCATGATCAACAACCAAGTAAACGAATCCCATGAAGAATCATCACCATCATCATCACCATTCTATTGGTGGAAATCGATCCCTGAATTCAATTCCTTAAATGGGTCTCAGAACTCATCATCCATATTCAAGGTATTGAGAGAAATGGAGAGGCTGTGTTGGATCAGTGAAGATGGGGTGGATGATCTTAAGCACAAACTCATGATCTACAAATCTGGTGATTTTTGGCTCCCGATTGGTGGAATTAACAAACAAGATCTGGATATTCCTCCACTAATTACTGTTTTGTTGCTTGGATTGTCTGGTTCTGGGAAAAGCTCACTTGTCAATCTTATGTATGCTGTTCTTGGCAGATCTGGAATCATCCCGTTTTCTCAAACTTCAAGTAATTTTTAACCCACGATTTCCATTTTATTCACATATTGTTTCATTCTCAAGTCGTTTGTTCATTTAATCTTCATTTTTGAAGCGTTGGTTGCAGATGAATCACAAAATAATCCGACCATGATGCTTGAAGAACATAACGTGTTACGATCAACACGAAATGGGTTTTGCATATACGATTCAAGGGGATTAGATGTTAATCGAATGGAAGAAGGTCTGGAGGAGGTGAGCCGGTGGTTGACCGATGGAGTCCGTCACAATCAACAGTGTCGGTTCGGTGAAGATGATGTGGAGGTGAGATTAAATTGGTCCTCCAATGGGTATGTGAAACGGAAAGTGAATTACGTGGCGGTGGTCGCCGATTTAACGGTGGTCTACAAGGCTTTTTTCTGCGGTGGCGATTTCACGCCAGTTTCGGCCATTAAATCCCTATTCCATTGTCCTTCGATAAGGACATCAAGTAAGTACCACTGCCTGCATTTCTTTTCTAATAAAGCTAACAAGAGAAAAATCCATGAAGTCGAGTATCTTCTTCGTCTATGTTAAAAATGGATTAAAAAAAAAAAATACAATAAAAACCAATGGACTTTCTTGTTTGGAATGATTAAGTCTTTAGATTTTTTTTTGGAACAAATAAGTACTTGGACATTCTAAAACATGTTAAATAAGTCATTGGATAATTTTTTGGAACAAATAAGTCCTTGAATATTCCAAAATATGTTAAATAAGTCATTGGACAATTTTTGGAACAAATAAGTCCTTGGACATTCCAAAAAATGTTAAATAACTCCTTGGACAATTTTTGGAACAAATAAGTCCTTGGACATTCCAAAAAATGTTAAATAACTCCTTGAACAATTTTTGGAACAAATAAGTCCTTGAACAATCCAAAACATGTTAAATAACTTCTTGAACTTTTATAAAACATGTTGGATACATTTTTATGACTTGTACAACTAGTTAAAGTGGTAAAATATTGAAAAAAATGGGGAAAAAAACCTAATGAACATTCATATTTTGAACGATTAAGCCCCTAAATATTTTTTGAACCAAAAAGTATTTAGATCCATAAAATTAAACAAATATAACAAAAAAATACTTACATTTACAAAAAAATAATTACATTTAAAAAAGATTTTTGATAAAGTTTATTTTAATTAAAATTAAAATATATTATGTCTATGATTTTTCAAACAAAAAAAATAATTATTATTAAATTTATTTTAATTAAAAATATATATATATATCATGTATGTGATTTTTTAAATTAAAAAAAAGATTTAAAAAGATTGCTGGTGAAATTTATTTTAATTAAAAATAATATATTTTTTTATTTTTTTATTTTGAAAAATCACTGACAAAATATATTTTCGGATTTTTTTTCACTATTTTACCACTTTATCGTTCAAAATATGAATGTTCATTGGGGTTTTTTCGGGATTTTTTTTCACTATTTTACCACTTTATCGTTCAAAATATGAATGTTCATTGGGGTTTTTTCCGGATTTTTTTTCATTATTTTACCACTTTAACTAGTTGTACAAGTCATAAGAATGTATCCAACATGTTTTATAAAAGTTCAAGAAGTTATTTAACATGTTTTGGATTGTTCAATGACTTATTTGTTGCAAAAATTGTCCAATGAGTTATTTAACATTTTTTGGAATGTCCAATGACTTATTTGTTCCAAAAATTGTCCAATGACTTATTTAACATATTTTGGAATGTCCAAGGACTTATTTGTTCCAAAAAATTGTCCAAGGACTTATTTAACATGTTTTGGAATGTCCAAGGACTTATTTGTTCCAAAAAATTGTCCAAGGACTTATTTAACATGTTTTGGAATGTCCAAGGACTTATTTGTTCTAAAAAAAAGTCCAATGACTTAATCATTCCAAACAAGAAAGTCCATTGGTTTTTATTGTACTTTTCCCTTAAAAAAAAGGATTTTTAGCATTTTTGTTGTTTCAATATTTATTTTATCTTCAATGTTAAAATAGAAAAAGACGAGAGATTGTAAAAATCTTTAAATTTTAAAAAATATTTAAAACTCTATAAAAGATAGAGAAATAAATATTTTGATTATATCCAACTAATTAAAGTTTTTGAAGTTAAATATGTAGGTAGGGGTGCTCATAAGTTGGGTTAATCGGTTTAAAGACATTTGAACAACTCAACTCAATGCTTGCGGTTTGAAAAATCTTAATCCAATCCAACCCAAACCAAAGTGCAACCCAACCCAACTCGTACGGGTTGGTCGGGTTGATACTTTGGTATATTAAAATATTCTTCTAACCTTGAATATGTTATTTATCTCTACTCATAATTTTTTTTTCATCATCAACAATTTGATACAACTTATCTTTATTTCTTACGTATATTACATTCAGTTAATTTTCTCAATTTATATATATATATATATATATATATGTTCACAGTTACTGAACATATATATGAATAAGTTATATAGATATATGAATAGACTGAAAATATGTGTATATGAAAAGCATACATGATATTGTAATTGTCTAATGTATATATTAATAGAAATTCAACAATCATATTAAATCTAAGAAATAAAAGGATATCGTGTTCATCGAATTGAGTTGAGTTCAAATAATAGTAACCCAATATCAACCAATACCTACGGTTTGACAATTTTACAACTCGATTAGACATCGGGTTGCTTCGGGTTGGGTTATTTCACATTGGGTTGGGTTGTGTTGATCGGGTTGGTCGGATTTTTGAGCACCCCTATCTGTAAGAGAGAGATAAATAACATTTTTATTAAATATATTGAATATTTTACTAATATAGTTAATGTTAAAATAAAGTAGTTGTTGTAGTTAACTGTAACTTTTAAGAGATTTTGATTCTTCATACTCTATTATAGAAAACTAGAAGAGTACTCGTGCAATGCAGCGAGACACATATCGATTTTAATGTTCTATTTTATTATGTGTCTCTATCGATGTTAAAATACGGTTTTATGTGTTTTTAAGAAAGCAATAATGATTTTATTTTGAAATAAAATATAAATTTGAAAATATCATAAAATTTTGAAAAAAAAAATATCAATGTTAATATCAAATCAACTATTTAAAAGTTCTCATTTTTATGTAGTTTCTTAAAAAAAAATTATTGTAATTTAATTTAAGTTTAATAACGAAATAATTTATTTTTGGTTTAATAATATAACATTTTATAAAGATAATAATTAAGTATTATGTTAGAGCTCAATGATTATCCTAATTATATTTTAGATTTTTTATATTTAAAATGAGATGTTTATCATGTATTTGATTATGTTTATCTGCAGTTAGTTACACGAATTCAAATATAGAGCTTTAATAAGTTGTACTTACGCACAATCAACTTGCAATATTGAGTTTTAAGTAGCATGCATAAATAAACAGTACTTTACGCATAAAAACTGGTTTTTAAGAGTTTTTGTCAAATGCTTTATAATATAGTAAAGATATATGACATGCTGTTGGAGATGTTATTACCGGGTAAGCGTCTTTAATGGGTGGGATTAAGAATTTTACCCGGTAATAAGACTAGCGGTAGGAGTGCTTAAAAACCCGATCAACCCAACTCAACGCGAAATAACTCAACCCGAAGCAAGCTGATGTCTAATTGAGTTGTAAAATTGTCAAACCGTATGTATTGGATTGATATTGAGTTACTATTATTTGAACGCAACTCAACTTAACCCGATGAACTCGGTATCCTTTTTATTTCTTAGATTTAATATGATTGTTGAATTTCTATTAGTATATACATTAGACAATTACACTATCATTTATGCTCTTCATATACACATATTTTCAATCTATTTAGATCTCTATATAACTCATTCGTATATATGTTCAGTAACTGTGAACATATATATGTAAATTCAGAAAATTAAACGAATATGATATACGTAAGAAGCATGGATAAGTTGAATCAAGTTGTTGATGATGAAAAAAAAAATTATGAGTAGAGAAATAACATATTCAAGGTTAGAAGAATATTTTAATGTACGAATGTATCAACCCGACCAACATGATCAATCCATACGGGTTGGCTTGGGTTGCACTTTGGTTTGATTTGGGTTGGATTGTACTTTGGTTTGATTTGGGTTGGATCGGGTTAAGATTTTTCAAACTGCAATCATTAGGTTGAGTTGTTCAAATGTTTTCAACCTGATCAACCCAACCCATGAACATTCCTAAATAGCGGGGGCCAATAATTTATTTGTTAAGTGGAAGAGAATGACTTTTCCACACAAAAATATATATACTATATTATAAAGTATTTGACAAAAACTCTTAAAAACCATTTTTATGAATGAAGTACTGTATATTGATGCATATTACTTAAAATTCAAGATTACAAGTAAATAATGCATAAGTACAACTTATTAAAACTTCGTACTTGAATTTGTGTAACTAACTACAAATAAACATAATCAAATACATGATAAACATTTCATTTTAAATATAAAAACTCTAAAATATAATTAGGATAATCATTATCTTTTAACAGAATACTTAATTATTATCTTTATAAGTTGATACTAATATTGATATGTTTTTTCAAAAAATTTAAGATATCTTCAAATTTATAGTTTATTCAAAAATAAAAACATTATCGTTTTTCTTAAAATCATATAAAACCGTATTATAACATCGAGAGGGGAACAAAATAAAATAAAACATAAAAATCGAGATGTATCTCGATATATTGCACGAATACTCTTATACTATTATCTAATAAAGTAAGTAAAGAATCATGACTATGATTGATAAAATAATCTCGATAACATTTAATAAATAACATCTAAATTATCAATAGTTACATTAAATTCGTTCAATTGGCACACCATTTCTTAAACATAATCAATACGTCCTCAATTTCATACTTTTTTTACAATTACAATTTTTGTCCCTATGTGTTTTTATTTTAAAAGTCTTAATTTTTAATTTATAGTTTTCACTGTGTTTTCTATATTCTATTATAAATTATATTTGTATTAATCAATTGAATTGTTGTTTATTTCACTTATATTAAAAATTAAATAGTATTAAAAATTATATAAAACATGTAACTTTTATTATTTAATGATATATGTCTCATATAGTAAATAATTTAATTCATGATTAATTTTATTTGATACAGAAATAAAATATATAAATATAATTTGTAAAGTTAATAAATATAAAAATATTGTCAAAAGTTTGTATAAGAATTGATGTTTACACCAAACTATACATAAGAATGATTATTGAAGATGTTTTAAAAATATTGGAGTTAAATACCTATGAAAATTATATGAATTTTTAATTGCTTGTTTTGATTTTTATCGTTAAATATCAGATATAGACCCACTTTTGATCCTGACACATGGTGATATGCTACAACCCGAGGAAAGGATAAATGGTCGAATCAAAATTTGTGCCTATTTGGGGATACCAGTAACAACTGGTGCATACGACATAGTATGTCTTACAGAGCAAGGTATATTGCATGAGGAATCTGATTCAATCACGTCTTTTGCATTGATTGAAGCGATTTATCGGGGTTTGTTACAGTCGGATCGAACTCATTCTCCAAAGAAGAAGTATAAAGATTGGATCAGAGATTTTTTTGTGAATGTTATGTGTTCTTTAGCTTACTTCTTTGCTATGCTTTCACGTATTTTTGAGAGGTGGAGTGGTAAACGAAATGAAGTTAAATTCATCAAAATATTAGATAGAAAGACACGATAGCATGTGTTTTTTTCTGTTCAAATATCATATAGATCGCGTTTCTTATTTCTAATTATACGTTAATACTATGTACAACTTCGTTTCCTTTTCTGTATTTTGTGTTTTTGTAATTTCTCTAAGCTTTCCTCTTATATTTTCATATCGTTTTTTCATGTGTTTTGTCTTTCATAATTTTCATAAACTTTACTCTTGTAATTTTGTATATTTGATGTCAGTTTCTCGTGTATTATTGAACCTAAGCAGTGTCGTAAGTCAACAATTGCATGAAAGACTTCAATTTCCGAAAGCTGCAAACTCAAAATTAGGGGGTTGTACCTAACTAAAATGCTTGTTTTCTATACCAAAATGTTAAATGCAGGTAATACTATCATGAGGTTGTTTGGTTTGCGGAATTCAAAAGAATTTGATGAAATTGAAATGACAAAATCCATTGTCAAATTAGTTGACGATGTTTGGTTTGTGGTTAGATTGATTGGATTTAGTGGAATAACACAGTTGAGAGATTTAATCACTCTATGGCATAAGTGAATGGTTTGAATTGTATTTCATCGCAAAATGTTATAATGTTTTTAAAAAGTCAAAAATAACACTTGTATCCAATTTAACCACCACCACCCCAAACAAACCCTTATAATTATATGGCAAATATTTGCTTATATTCCAACCGATGATCCTTTAATGATTTGCATTTGTTTTGTATTTTTGGTCTACTTCGTTTGCTTTTGTTAGAATACATGATTTATGGTTTTGATTTTAGAGATCTAATTTAATTTTTTTAAGATAATTTTGATTTTTACATGAAACTATTTTTAATGAATTTGTACAAATGTGTGTTTCATGTTCTATGCTTGTAGATATTGGCTTTGTGTGTCATTAATTTGGGGATTGATGTTATTTGATGTCTTTGTATTTTGTATTCAAATTTGTGCTTCATTCAGGTTTTGAGACTTCTTTACATTTATGGTTTTAAGAAAATAAAAGGGTCCTTATGGGAGCAACCCATTTCTTCACTTAATAGAATATTTTAAGAAAAAATTAAAATACAAAAAATATGACCCACTCTTTTGAGTTTGAGGTACCCAATAAACCAAAAATGCAATTAACTAAGGGGTGTTTAGGATTGTTTAATTAAAATAACTTGTGTTTTTTTTAAATGTTTATTAATTTATGTGGTATTAAACCGGGGTTAAATAAAACAGGGTTAAAATTGTAAACTGATAATAAACAGTTTTTCATAAGTCATGAAGGATTAACTTATCAAAAACAGCTTATTACCGGTTTTGGCACCGGTATAAACAGTTTTTTTTTCTTATCCAAACACCAGAAAACAACATATCATCGATACCAGACTGAAATAAGTTAAAAAACAGCTTTTATAAACAATCTCAAACACCCCTTAAATGGAAATAAGATCAAGGGAATTCGGCTTCTGCCCTCAACCCATAATGAATGAATCCGGCCAGCAACCTAGCAGCCAACTAATCTAGAGATTCCAAATGGGTGCCGGCCCGGTGGTCCTAATCGGTTACGAATTTCATGGCTCAACCGAGTAGCGGTTATACATAGCTTCTATTTTTTTAAACAAGTTTTATAACTTAATATATTAAGATTTTCAAAGAAATTACCAAAAATTTCAAGTTTTTTTAAACTTTTTTTAAGTGTTCAAATACTAAATCTCAAAATTTGTAATTATAAAAATATTTATAATATTTTCTTGTATAAAAAAAATTAAAAAATATATTATTAAAGTGTAATTGAATAACTCAATTAGAGATTTTAAAGTGTACTTTAATAAAATATTGTCTATTTTTAAATAATATATTTTTTACGTTCCAAAATTAATTTTTGAAAAAAAATTTGGGACCGGTTTCGACCCAGCATGAGATTTTAGTTCTAGAGACCGGTTACAAACCATGAAGACTGGATCCTAGGTTTTTGGTCGAGACCGGTTATGAACATTAAATCAAGGACCATGAATGATTTGGGCTTGGTCCTACACCAATTTTTGGCCATCTTACTCATCAAATGAATCCCATAACCCATGTTCTAACGAATCCGACCCATGCTTCACCCACGTTAGGATGCAACGTTGTCGTCTCCTTCAACAACTAAATTTGACTCGTTTCTTAGGGTTGTTTATCTAACGTTTATCCAATAAGCGCTTATCAGTAAAAAAAATCAATGCTTTCATTTAACTTATTAGATAAAATTTTAGTCCATTAAAACGACAATATATGCAACATTTTTATCTAGTAAATGCTTACCGGATAAGAGTCATGACTCTCACTTACCCGGTAAGACTTTTAGTTCTTGTCCTCGCTCTTACCGGATAAAATTATCAATCATTGTCATGTTCATTCGATAAGTTATGATGACCTGTTAAGTATTTATCGGGTAAACGATCTCTTAGTCAAATTTAGTCATTGATTTTTTTTTTTTTGCAATAAATCACTATAAATAGTTAACCCTATTGACTAGCATAAGAAACATATTTAGGTTGAACTATCAAACTCAATATTGTGTTTTTTTTCCGTTTGTTTGATGATCGACACCGTATTCACATTTGGGATCAAATCAACGGACATCAAGCATTTACTATGACATGATTTTTATACTAAACGATTTTACTATGTCAAACTACTGATAATAAAATATTAATACAAGTATAGTGTGGAATTTTACCTTAAATTGATTATACAAACTCTGACTAAATTTACTTGTCTTTTTACTTTTTCGTCCCTAGATTGTGTTTCGTGATGTTTTTTGGTTTTTCTCTTGAGTGAAGGACATCACAATGAGGTAAGAGTTGATTTTATCCGTTCACTACGCACATGGATTTTACATCCAAACCTCTCACATAAAATGGGATATGATCCCAATGATGAATGATCGTGTAAGAATGGTAGGTAATTTGATATTCTTAAGAATAGATATTGATCCTTGATCCTTTTTATCACTTATCATAGGTATTGATTCGGTTCATCTCGGTGCACCATGTTAGTGTTGATCTTTAATTAAGATTGATCCAAGGGTAACGATTCATTCAAACTCTTTTCACCATAACTTTCATTCTCATAGGACCAAATCCTCGTCTTGAATTTCGATACTTTAGAGACTTGGCAAACAAAACCCTCATGTTTTTCCGTTCTCATTTTTGCCTAAATCCCAACTTTGGAACTTTACACAGTTATCCCAATATACAATTGCGTACATACATTTTTTCTAACGTCAAGTTTCCAAATAATTACTTTTGTGTGTACACATATGTAAGGTTGGGTTTTGGTGAGAAGTAAAGTCAATGTGAGATGCGTAAGAAGAGATCTTCACCTTTAAATACACATTAGGATGAGATGCACTAGATTTGTTCTCACATTAAGCGCGATTAATGGGTGGTTTTATATTAAAGGTGATCAAGAGTCCAAATCTTTTTTACGCTCCCTCACCTTTAATGTTGTTACACTAATCACAAAAAATTGCAAAAGTTATATTGTATTGTTGTCATGAGATTTGTTTTTTACCGTATAAAGATATCATGTTAAGGTACATATTTTGTTATAAACTAATTATTCTCTATATGTTCACACATATTTTTAAAATGTACTATGGTGGTGAAGTATTGGGATAATTTTTTTTATAAAAAATAATTCTAAAAATTACAGTCTGGAATTAATAATACACCAAAAAAAACGGAATACATTTAGTTCCCGTTTTGTTTTTAAGATTGAATAAGATTTGGAAGGTTTTAAAATCGAATTCTATTACAAATTTCATATTTGGATTGAATGGTTGTTTGAATTTGAAATTCAGAATTTTATTGAAACCCACAAACTTGGGATTTTAAAAAATTAATGGGGTTGATGGTATTTTGTAATTTGTAGTATTAGTGTGTGATAATGTTTTTAAAAACATTTGTTTTATAATAATCAATTAATAAAAAAGTAATTTAATTGTTTTTATAATTATTAATAATTTATTTTTATAAAAAATAAATTCAATTTCGTTACATATCTTAGAAACCAAACATACCAAATCCTTCCAATTTCAAAACCTTCCGTAACATCAAATTTCTCAAAACCATTTACATCGAACCGAATCCCCACTTTATAGTTTACCAATTTCATGCAAAAGCAAACAAACTTTCATCTTAAGTGCATGATGTTTAAACGTTACATGTTTAATGGGTAGGTCATTAAACCAATCGTGATTGGCAGGGGTTGATTCGAGAGAGAACAAGAAAATAATTGATATCTAAAGAATAAATCATGACATTTTATTAGAATAATATTAAATGTGACATTTTTTTAAATTTAATAGGACAGACAATGGGAAGCATATTGAGTAACTAAATACATTAAAAGTAAAATTGAATTTAAATAAAATAAAATAGTAGATTTCTGATTGCGTTTTTCTAAATAAAAATAGATTTACATATTACAATGTAAATTAATTTAAATTGTAATCAAGTTTAAATAAATTATATATATGTTTTATTTTTGTTTGATAGATATATATATTTTTGGTATATAAAATTTAATTTGACAGATAACCATTAGATCAAGCGTGAAGAGATAGATACCAAGGGTGAGGATCTTCCCAACTTAAAACGGAGAAACGAAACCCTAGTTTGAAATATGTGCAGTGCAGCCGCACACATGTAATTCCAACCTCAGATTTCAAAAGCGAGCAATCAAGAAATAAGAAAATCCAAATGGCGCTATTTTAATTTTTGGCGGGGCGTCTAACGTCCAAAAACATTCGGAAAGGGGCAGTTTCGTCATTTAACATCACCGCGCCCTAGGGTTTTCTCCGACCTTAAAATCTTTTCATTTTATTTTGCCGCTGCTACTTCTTCGGCTCCTTCCCTCCCTCCCTCTCTCTCTCTCTCTCTCTAGCTGAACAGATTCAGTGATTCTTGTAGCTTTTTGCTTGATCAGCTATTTGATCTTCTGGGGTGTTTCATTTATTTGAAGAAATCCGCTTTCATCTCCATCTCTCTCGATATCTCTTTCATCTTTATTGCGTTTTTCTTTAAGTGAATCACTTGTTTAGCTTCAAGACATTGTTGATCAGGCTTTTACTATTTGGCTGTGGTTCATAGCTGAAGAACACGGCTTCGGTCTTTATCTTCCCCGTTCCGTCTTTGTTATTTTGGTTGTGATCGCATGATCTGGAGGTGATCGTGATAGGAATCAGGGGTTTGATCGATTGATTTTATTTGGGTTTTTAGGTGAAATCGTTTTGAAATGGGGGATCTAAGTGATAAGGTGAGTGATCATTGATCAATCAGTTTTGGTTGTTGAGATTGATTTGGTGTTTGATTTTAATGGGTTTATTTGGTTTGTTTTAGGGTTCTGAATGTGATGATATGATGAACTGCAAAAGCAGCCCAGAGAGAGGCGGATCATCTTCATCGGACGGTGGTAGTCATACGATCAAAACCTGTGCTGATTGTGGGACCACCAAAACCCCTCTCTGGAGAGGAGGCCCAGCTGGCCCTAAGGTATTTTCTAAGTTTTTTTTAATTTATAAATTAATTGATTATTTTTCTGTGGGTATACATGAAGTTTTCAGTTGATTAAATCTTGAACATGAATCTTGGTTTAATTTGATCATTTTGATGAATATGAACAGTCTTTATGCAATGCTTGTGGGATCAGAAGCAGAAAGAAGAGAAGAGCTCTTTTGGGTATCTCAAAAGATGACAAAAAAGCCAAGAAAACCATGATCACCACCACAGCCCCCATGACTGTCACCTCTACATCTGGTGGAGATAGTCAAACTAGTGGTTTGACCACCATTAAAAGCAGCAACATGGTTGATTTTTGTTTGAAGAGGAGATTAATGGCACTTGGTACAGAAGTGGTGTTGCAGAGACCAAGATCAAGGGTCACAAAACAGAGGAGGAAGATTGGTGAAGAAGAACAGGCTGCATTTTTGTTGATGGCTTTATCTTGTGGTTCTGTTTTTGCTTGATCAATGACTTTAAAACAAAAATGGAAACAAGTTTGTTTTGTAGTCTTAGGTTTTTATGAGCAAGTAATTAAGGAGTCAATGATGAACATTCTGAGAGTAAGCATCAATTTCAAGAAGAGCAAAATGGTGTATTAACTTGTTTAGGTTCTTGTTTTTATTGAAGCTTATGATTTTGTTTCTTGATGATTCTGTTTTTGTTGGTAGAAAAAAAAGCCATGTTTATTTTAAGATCATTGAGGATATTTTGATATCTAAATCTATTTGATCTTGAATGTAATTTATTTATTTCATTATAAAAATACCAGCTTTTGATTATTTCTTGATAAAATGTCATTAATTTGTTAGTTTTGATTTTTGTAACATATGCAAAAGGTGATGACATTATCTTGATGCCAATTGTTGCAGAACCAAATGAAATACTTATGTCAATCTTTCTATATTTAGTAGGAATTTTAAGTAGATTCTTGTTATTTTCTTTACCATATTTTTGCATATTTGTGTTTCGTTAAGAAACTTCACCTAATCTCCAACTCGAATTAAGGTGGTGTTCCCAACTCACATTGTAAGCATGTCTATGTTTTTCCGCCATTTTTGGTTATGGTTGTAATATTATTTGCGACATGAATTATTTACTGGCTTGTTTAACCCATCTTATTAATAGAAAGTTTTAACACATAATCCTAATTTTATACAAGAGTATAAATATAAAGGGTTTTTGAAACAACAAATGTCTCGTAAGCTTATTGAGTTGAAAGTTAGATCATGATATTAGTATGGATGATATTTTGCTAATAATATCATGATCTTAGCCATATACAAACACTTGTCAATTTATGGTATCACCAAATTTTCAATCAATCCAAGAAATAAAAATATCTTTGGCTTTTAATTATTGATCCCAATTTCAAATAAATTCTTTGGTTAAAAACATGTGTTAAGTGTTATTCTGGACATGTGTTAAATGTTATTCTGGACATGTGATCAACAATTAAATATTATATTAAGTTGTGTATATTTTAATATATAGTATATACTAAAGGTGGTTAAAAATCAGGGCCGGCCCTGGCCACGTGCAGTCCGTGCGGTCGCACAGGGCATCAAAGCCTAAAGGGGCATCAAGTTGTCATTTCTTACTAGTTTTGGGTTTAATAATTTAAAAATTGAACAACTGAGTTTTAACTATAAAAACAGGCCCAAGGCCTAGTAGTGATGTATACTGAATGCACATCGTTGGAAAAAGTTGGAAAGTTGGAAAAGTTTTTGTTTGTATAAACTTGTTTGTATGAATAAAGTTGTATGTATGAATTAATCTGGATAAGTCACTTTCTATATCATCAAGCCACTACGAAACAGTCATGCATAATTGAGCGAATAAGCTGTTAGTTCCATTAAACTTATTAAGCTGCTAACAGATAGCTCTTAGCCTTTAGTCGTTATACCTGCAACTTTTGAGTTTTATTTTTTGCTTACTATGACAGTAAATTGGATGTAATTTACTATTTTAGATAAAAACGAATTTAGTTTTCCTTGTCTTTAAAGTCCCGAAATAAAATTTTAATTTTGCTAATTTCAATTTAGAAAAAGGAAAAATGAAAAAGAAGGAAGTATGGTCTTAACAGGAATTATCCTTTTATATTTTGTATTTGGGGTTTTGGTCTTATGTCCACCCCCCTTGTATTTTTTGTTTATTATAATTAATAAAAATCAACATGGAGATAAAATACTTAACTTGAATATGTTCTAAACTCTTTAAAAAGGCTTAGGGGCATTTTTTTTATTTTCGCACAGGGCATCAAAAATCTTAGGACCGATCCTGTTAAAAATCGGTTTCGGGCCGGATCAGGTTGAGCCCAAATAGTGATTATGTAATCAGTTCCGGCGTAACCGGATCCGATTCCAATCCAAATACGAAGGCCCGACTAAGGTGTATGAGGCCCAAGCCATGAGAAACAGTTCCGGGACGGACCCAAATCGGTCCCACTTAATTTTAATTTTAGTTCTTTTAGATATGATTTTTAACATATCAAAAAAATATTTTTGAAAAATTTGGTCAATCAAATATACTAACAAATACGTTCTTATTATAAAGTGAAGGGTCGTGTGAGAATGATAGTTAAGGTGAGAAGCAAAAGAATAAATCTAGACCCTTGATCACATTTAATCTCAAACTAATTAATGAATCACGTTTGATATGAAAATTGATCGGGTGCATTTCGATGCATCTTATCCTAATATACATTCAAGAATAAAGATCTCTTCTTAAATTTTTCATCTTAACTCTCCTTTTTACCGAAACCCTTATTATAATTGTGTATGAAACACACTAGTTAATATGGGCTAAAATCCACAATTGGTCCATAAGCTGGGAAGAAGGGAAGTTATATACATAATATTTCATTTAGCTCTAAACTACATCTACACTTGGAGATGTTTGATTGGTTATCCGTTAAATCGTATAAAGATAAAAAAGTTTGTGTAGATTATAAAGATTTTTAAAGTTTTTTCATAGATAAAAGATACGTGTTTCTTAATTGAGAGAGATAGATTTTTTTTTAAAAAACTTAGATTTATGTATATAACTTTCCGAAAAACATTCCCTTAAAGATATTGTGTATCGTTTAATGATTGAAATTTGAAATAATGGCATGAACAATTTGTGCTAAAGATGTTTAACACCATAATTTAACCAACTGGAATTTAATTTCATATGAGATTTTTGTGTTTTTTGACACAAGAATATAAACTTAAAAATAGGTTAACTGATATTCAATTAGTCAGCTTGTTTAATTGTCTTGCCCCTTTTTATTTACTATATGCATGTCCAAATTCTAATACAACAAATATGTCATTTCAAATCAGCTAAGCTAAAAATTGAAATTCAAAAACTATGAGAAATTGAGGGTAAATTACAAATCAAAGGTGGGGAATTAAATCCTACAAACCATACATATTTTCGGGCATTGAGGGTAAATTACATCTTCAAATTCTAATATAACGGTTTTCGAGTAATTCTAAAAAATGAGGGTAAATTACAAATCAATCCTTTCTAGGATTTAGTTTGTGAACATATAACCTATCCTTTCCAGGATTTAGTACGTGAACATATGACCTATCATTTCGAAGATTTAGTTCCTGAACATATAACCTATCGTTTACAAAATTTAGCCGTCTAGGGGAGAGAATAGTTGCTTTCACTCTATTATACAATTCTCCATTAACCTCGGTTTTGGTACATGAACGACCGATGCTTCATTTTAATTTGGGTTGTCTGGATAATATATTTAGAAAGTGATTATGTGAGTACAAGAAGATGTATTAAGTCACAAGATCCAGGGATATCTTATAGGCTTAAATATCCATCAAAAAAGCATTCCTTGCATAACAAGATAACATTCAAGTGAATTTTTGCACAAACATAATAATAATTAGTAACGACATCTAACTAATAACAATCTAATGAAACTGCAAGAATCTTTGAAAAACACTAAACACTTTCTTGGCTGATTTATCATTTAATCTCTCCCACATCAATCAGTCATTCATATTTCCCTTTTGTCCTTCTCATTCTAAGGTGCCTATAAATTAAATACTACCCAAGCCACCAAGAGATTTAAGTTTGTGCCTGTGTATATTAGCTACTGCCCACAAACAGATTAATGTTATTGAGTCTTTATCTTCACTCTATTGTCTATCATCAGTTTCGTATAATCATATGTAGGGTCTTGACCAATGACAAAATGAGTATCATACCTAAAATTGCAAAATTAAGTGAGAACATTCAAGTGAATTAGCTACTCCAACCAAGTGAAATACTAGAATTAAACTACGACATATTAGTGACATAAAACATGAAATTAACTACTGCACATTGAGTGACACCATTCAAGTAAATTACTAATTTGGACTGCTGCATATTCAAGTGCTATAGAACTGAGAATCAAATAACAACATTCAAATAAATCAATTACTGCCTATTTCAACATTCAAACACAACTATTGCATTTAAAATCAAATACGACAATATTTGAATTACCTGGTTTTATACCAAGTCAAGAGTGATTTGTATTGTTTGAAGGATTGAAATCAGAGCTGCATAGGGCCCAAGCGAGAAAGGCAGACTCAAGAGGACATAAAGCATTCAACAAATCACAAGTTCACAACCATGAATCGTTCATAGGTGAGAGAATGAAGAGATATTTGATTGTTGCTTAATATTTGAATTAAGTCTAATAACTGCTGGTTTTTAGGAGCTACCGTTTTTCACTTCACAATTGGTCAACGTGGGGTATTTTTATGGTTTCTGTTAGTCTTGTAAACGTTATTTAAGGAGCCATAGTTGTGTTGAATAAACCAAGGAGAACCATTTGGGTTCACAGATTACTTGTTGCTTCATTTATGTATTTGTCAAAATGTTGTGAGCGTTAGAGCATATGAGAGGGCAGTCGACATGAGGTTTAGGGCAGATTGTGTGACATTGATACGATTGCATGAGAGAGTTGAGACATTGAGGTTTAGCGTTAGAGCATTTGATACGACGTGAGTTTTAGGGCAGATTGTAATATTTTTATTTACAATGGATATGTATTTTTATTCACATCAATGCATATATTCTTTGATATTTAGCCACCAACTTTTTTCAAAAAGTTTCTCAAATATTTGATTGTAATAGTGAGTTGATTATCTCACATTGATAGAGAGAATAAAGTTTGACAAAATTTACAAGTATACAAGGAGGAGATAAAAGAGATATATTTATTTGTTAAATATAACCAAGTGTAAATGATGTGTAGAATGAGGTTTGAGAATTTCTTAAATCTTGAATTGTAGTGGTAAGTTGATAATGCGACAATGACAGAGACAAAATACATTCACAAATAGTATGAGTATATAATAAGGGGATGCTGAATTGAAGCTTGAAAATCTTTAAGTTAAATTTGACATTTAGCCACCATTTTTTTCCAAAAAGTTTCTCAAATATTTAATTGTAATGTTAAGTTGATTATCTCGCATTGATAGAGAGAAAAAGTTTGACAAACATTACAAGTATATAAGGAGGTGATGATGAATGATAAAGTTTGACAAAAAAATATCTTAGTGTCGGTTGAAGATGGTGTAAGTTAACAAAAACAATTCATATTTAATTTTTTCATAAAATAAACACAAAAATATGTAAAATAATACTTTAAATCATAGTTTTTGATGAAAAACGTAATGAATTTTTTTACTTTTATATCAATTCTTATAAATTTGTAACATTTTTGTGATTCTTATTTGATTATCATCATCCCTCAAACACACACAAATATACATACATACATACATACATACATACATACATACATAACTGCTATATATATATATATATATATCATCATTTTTGTTAATT